CACACTAAGGTGTAGGATGAGCAGCAGTCCAGCATCTGGTAGGCGACTGCTGATGCACCTGCTTGGGGGTTCTGGGGACACCTGCTTGAGGGCCATCCTTGAGAGGAATCTCCTACGGGATTTATAGTGGGAAGAAGCTCTACTTCCCTTAATCACTAGGATTTGATACTGTTTGTTCCTAGTAACTAGAGGTGACGCTCATCTGTTTTCCTCTCCCCTTTGTCCTCTTCTCTTAGAACCCAGAACTACCATGGCCTCTGACCTAGAGAGCAGCCTCACTTCCATAGACTGGCTCCCCCAGCTGACCCTCCGAGCTACCATTGAGAAGCTCGGGAGTGCCTCCCAGGCTGGACCTCCAGGGAGCAGCCGCAAGTGTTCACCAGGCTCACCCACAGATCCTAATGCCACCCTGAGCAAAGATGAGGCAGCAGTCCACCAGGACGGTAAACCACGATACAGCTATGCCACACTCATCACCTACGCCATCAACTCCTCTCCAGCCAAGAAGATGACCCTCAGCGAGATTTACCGCTGGATCTGCGATAACTTCCCCTATTACAAGAATGCGGGCATTGGCTGGAAGGTGGGACTGCTTCTATATCCTGGGCTTACTTTTAGCCTTTGACAACCTTTTTCTCTACTTTTGTTTCTTCCTGTAACCTGGTCCAGTTTTCTCTGACTTGTCTCAGAGTTATGTACACTTAAAATCTCGTATCTTCTACCCCCTACTCTTTTTCAGAGTTGTCAGGGAAACTCAGTGATGCCAAGCTGTTAAGAGTAGTTACAGGGATGGCAGGATGCTCATCACACCCTCTTATCTTCTGATTCCTCGAAAAGGATACTCATTCATTTCACAAGTATTTATTACCACTCCGCTTCGTTCAAGTCCGTGTGTAAGGCATGGCATTATTCCCTCCTACACAAGATGGGAATTCCACAGACTTCCATAGCTTCGTTGCACTCAGTCATCATCTTTTGAAAAATTGTATACCAAGAAAAAAAATAACACGATTAGGTCCTTTAACAACAGCTGGTCCACCAAGCAAGGTTAAGTTGAGGTTAAGTTGTTTGGCTGGAGATGAAGGAAGAAGAGGCTCCTCTTCCAAGCAAAGAAGGAAGGCCGATGTTCTTAGTTTGCTAGAGCAGCAGCTCTTTTGCCAATTGTTGAGTAGGAATGGGGATTTAATGTAGTTCTCTCACTCAGTAAATCACCAGATGACATGCAAAAGCCATATGATGAGCTGGGGACTATTGAAAGCAGCTTTCCCTTTGTAAATATGTCCCTGCTAGCTACCACCACCCACAACCCTACCTACCGCATAATACACCACAATATTTCTTTCCTCCAAATGTGACCATTCTATGGGTTACTGAGAAAATGAAGGTGATCTGTGCCTTCATTTCACTCATAATTTACATTTTGTTATAAATTATAAAAACTTTTATTATTTATTTATTATTATTATTTTTTTTAAAAGATGACCGGTAAGGGGATCTCAACACTTGGCTTGGTGTTGTCAGCACCACGCTCAGCCAGTGAGCAACCGGCCATCCCTATATGGGATCCGAACCCGTGGCCTTGGTGTTATCAGCACCACACTCTCCCGAATGAGCCACGGGCCGGCCCCTATAAAAACTGTTTTAAAACATTCTTTTGCTATTGATAGGGTGGATTGAGGAACTGGGCAGATGTGAATTTGAGGCATTTGTATACTTGTTGTTAGTTGGGTGGAAAGGTTGCAAAACTATGTGATCAACTTTTCAGAAGCCATTGCCTCTCATCAATTTAATTTCTGCATTTTTCTTATATCATTGCTCTTGCTATCTGATGTGTAATTTCCTCCATCAGTATACTTAAGTGCCTGATCCTTAAACTTTATTGTGTGTGATGTTCTTTTGTGTATCTCTGTGCCCTGTTGGAAAATTTTCTGCTTTGTACGTTGTTCAGATCTAACTTGTGTCTCTGCTTCCCCAGAATTCAATTCGGCACAACCTTTCTCTCAACAAGTGTTTCCGGAAGGTTCCCAGACCTCGGGATGACCCTGGGAAGGTGAGATGCTGCTGTCAGCATTGCAGGGAGGAGCAGGAAGGAGAGCGAAGTAATTGACAGCCCAGAGTCGAGTGGCTGTTTTAATTACCCAGAGGAAGGAAATCATGTTAATTAGAGAAGCATCTTTATTTTTTCTTAAAGGAAGAACTTGGTTGTCAAGCTTGTGGGCCCCTGCTAGAATAGGTGACTAAGGAAGATTGTGAAATCTTTTTTGTTTTTTTTTTGTAGAAATATTTATGGTAGAGTTGACTTTGATGTCCCTTTTCTTTTGTGTGGCGCTTTTTTTTCTAGATGTAAAAGGTATACTTGCTAACCTTTGTAGAAACTTTTCTATACAAAAATCCCTGGTTTTTACCTTCATAAGGAAGAAGGGATGGATTATTCTCTCAGTTTAACAGATGTGGGTGCTAAAGTCCGAGAGTTTTGCTTCAGGTCACAAGGGAAGGGAAGGGTTGTATCTGGACATTTCCAGGCCTTTTTAACTAGATACCATTGTCCAGCTCCTCCAGAACAATTGAGGCCTGTGTTTGGACCACAGGATTACCTCTTGCATACTCAGTGAGCTTTTAGGACAAATTTACTCCTCAGAAATACCCAGTACCCTCAGGATTCTGTGTGATATCCAGTCATGTTTCTTAACATGGCTGTTGTATTATGTGAAAATCTTCCCAAATATCTACATTTCCAAAGGTAGGAACTTCTATATGTAATGATTTTGTTCTCTATGTGGATGGGTCTTCCTTCCAGGGCTCGTATTGGACAATTGACACCTGCCCTGACATTTCCCGAAAGAGGAGACACCCTCCAGATGATGATGTGAGTTCCACGTCGTGGGGAGATGCTGCTTCTCAGCCAGCTGCTCTTTCCACCTCCTTTCCTGTATATTCAGTCCTTTCCAAGGCAAAGGTGGAATACACAGAGGTGAAACCATGGGTCTTGGGAGGATGTTTCGCCTTTCCTTACAAGTTGTTCTTCCTTAACAACCCTCAGCTATCCCAAGACTCACCAGAACAGGAGGTGAGCAAGAGCCCAAGGGGAGGTGTTCCAGGGAGTGGAGAAGCTTCACTGCCTCCTGAGGGAAGTCCTCAGGTGTCGCTTCAGAGCCCCACATCTATTGCCAGCTATAGCCAGGTAGGATGCAGAGGTGGCAGGGGGCATTCGGATGGATGGTTGAATTGATTCAGATATCTCTCTGTGTTCAAAATTATGTGTTGAGTCTCTGTGATACGTTAGGCAGATAAATTGGGAAAGAAGGGGAAAGCAAAAGATGGAAACTGAGAGACAGAGACAGAGAGAAAGTGGGGAGGAGGGGAGAAAAAGGCGTAACAGAGTTTTGTGAAAGGTCAGGGAAAAAAGTGGTGAGAAGAGGATCCAAAACAGTAATGAGAAGGGAGAGAAGGGCGTGGATGCAACAGGGAAAGGGCATTTATAAGAAGCAGTGGAGAATATGAGAGAAAGAGGCTATTCAAGATAATAACCAATGAGAAAAGAAGGAGAAAATGAAGCTGGATCATTGAGAAGTTAGGAGAAGATTAAGAGAACAGGCAGGAGAGCCTGGTCACCATTGAAGGGCTGTATTGGTTCCTCAGCTGGCTCCTACATCAGTACTTTTTACCTGTTTTTGCAGGGCACAGGATCTGTGGATGGTGGAGCAGGGGCTCCAGGCCGAGAAAATGCTGAGGGTCCCCCTCCCCTCTATAACACCAACCATGACTTCAAATTCTCCTACTCAGAGATCAACTTTCAGGATCTAAGCTGGTCCTTCCGCAACCTGTACAAATCCATGCTGGAGAAGTCCTCTTCCTCCTCTCAACACGGTGAGTCTGGAGTTGGGATGGGCGGGTGACATCCTTGTATTTTTGAATGTAAAAATATATTCAAAAATATATATAAATATGTATTTTATATAAAGAAATGTTCTCTCCCTTATTTCTTATTCTTAACACAAGGAGAGTTGATCAGTGGTCGGAGGAGACATATGAACTAAAGCCATTTAGAGTCGAGCAAGCTCATCTCCCCTTCTGAAAGGACAACTGTTTCAGGAGGTGGGCTGGGTGATTAGCTCTAGAAAGTGAGTTAGAGGATTGTCCCTTCTAAAACTAAGGGCCATGATATTATGGCTGCAGGCAGGTCCTTGACAGGATGACCACCAGGGGACAGCAGTAGTACTCTCTCTCTAAGAATCATCATTGTGAGAATAATTTATTTTTATTTTTTAGTGTATTTATATTTATGTTACTTTTTATTATGAAAAATTTCAAATAGATGCAAGAATAGAGAGAATAGCGTAATAGACTCCTGTGTTTCCATCATCCAGCTTTAACTGTTACCAGTATTTTGTTAAGCTTGTTTCATTTACCACCCAGCTCTTTTCTTCATTTCAAATAGATGCAAGAATAGAGAGAATAGCGTAATAGACTCCCGTGTTTCCATCATCGAGCTTTAACTGTTACCAGTATTTTGTTAAGCTTGTTTCATTTACCACCCAGCTCTTTTCTTCAACTGGAGTGATTTAATGCAGTTCCCAGATATCATGTCATTCCACCCATAAATACAATTTCAGTATGCATCCCTAAATGATAAAGACTTTTAGTTATCTACCATGCCATTATCACTCCTAACACAATTAATAATGTTTTCTTACTATCAGCTAGTATTATCCATATGCAAATTTTCCTAATCATTATGTGGAAATGACTTAAAGTCCTTATTGGGAGACACCTTGGGTGATTATCTGGTTCAGCCCTTTGTAATTCTTGTTTTTGTTTTTGTTCTAAGAAATTAGGGGCTGGCGGGCTAGCTCAGTTGGTTAGAGCATGGTGTTATAACACCAAAGTCAGAGGTTCAGATCCCCTTCCTGGCCAGCCGGAAAAAAAGGAAAAGAAAGAAATTAGAGGTAGTGGTGAGGTTAATAGAAGACATTGGACCTTCTGCTTCTCTGCAGTGGCCCTTTATAGGCAGCAGAGGCTGGATGGAATGATTGGGCTAGCTCAGTTGGTTAGAGCATGGTGTTATAACACCAAAGTCAAAGGTTCAGATCCCCTTCCTGGCCAGCCGGAAAAAAAGGAAAAGAAAGAAATCAGAGGTAGTGGTGAGGTTAATAGAAGGCATTGGACCTTCTGCTTCTCTGCAGTGGCCCTTTATAGGCAGCAGAGGCTGGATGGAATGATAAAAAGTAGTTAGGAGTCACTTTTTGGAAAATTTATATTAATTGTCATGAATTTCTTTTTTTATATCCCAAGAGATCAGCATCTAGAGTTGTGTCCCAAGATTGTAGCATTTGCTTGAGAAATGTATCCAACTCATGTTGTTGGCTGAATGGACGTGAAGAATATAGAGTGACTATCAGAAACAAAGTAAAAAAGTAGATTGAGCGAGGACAGCACAGTGGTCACTCAAGTTTGATTGTGCCTAAAAGCCCCAAGCGTCAGGTGCTAGTTGGTCCCTGCCCAGTCTGCTTGAGCAGTTAACCCGTCCCCACTCCACTCCTTATGCAAGCTCCGTTTGTTGGTAGTGAAGGCAAGAAGGAAGTAACAGGAGAGGAGTATAGACGACAGGAAGAGGAGAGAGACGCCCAATGGCTTTGTTTTGTTTATAATTTACTTTTTAAACTTCACCTGCTGCCTGATTTCTTTTGAAACCGTGATTCTAGGCCTATACCAAAATCCTTGAAGAGTAGCATAAAAAGGTACATGCTGACCTCTTTGCTAAAATGTCAGCAGTTGCCACACTCTCAGGGCTTTCCCCTCACCTAACTGCTTTCCTGTCTGTTAGACCTGCCAGGAGGGCCACAGGGATTCTTGCTGTCCTTGAACACACTTATCCTTGTAACTCTGCAGTTTCTGTCTGATATCTCCGATCTCAACCCAGTGAAAAATTCATTTAGTGAAAAATGCATTGCCTAAGTCACTTGCCTGCTTCCTCCTCACCCTGCAGGCTTTTCGTCTCTTCTGGGGGACATGCCACCCTCTAACAACTACTACATGTACCAGCAGCAGCCGCCGCCGTCTCAACAGCAACAGCAGCAGCAGCCACCGCAGCCACCTCCCCAGCAATCACAGCCACAGCAGCAGCAGGCACCAGCCCAGGGCCCCTCCACTGTAGGGGGTGCTCCTCCACTGCACACCCCAAGCCCAGATGGGTGTACTCCACCAGGGGGAAAGCAAGCTGGGGCTGAAGGCTATGGACCGCCCCCTGTGATGGCCATGCATCCATCCCCACTGCAGCATGGAGGCTACCACCCTCATCAGCACCATCCCCACTCCCACCCTGCCCAGCAGCCACCACCAGCACAGCAACAGGCACAAGGCCAGGCTCCTATCAACAGTACTGGCTTTGGTGAGTAAGGAGGATACAGGGAGATCCTGGAAGAGGGTGGACTGTCTGCCTTGTTCTGACTCTGGCAGGGAGGTGCGGTTGGCTAGGAAGTTCATACTGGGTCTTTTAGCCTTGCTGCCCTGTGAGAGCTCATATGAACGAATGGGAGTTGCCACTTAGAGCTCTATATTACAGAATTCTTGGATGAAATGGGATTGTTTTACATATTCTCCTGCCTGTGAACTGGGCTGTACCTACAGCATAGATATGTTTACTAGTCCTAAACCTGCAGGGAAGGAGAGTCCGGAATGGTCCTGGTAATGCAACTAATAATCTGTGTAGATGCAAGAACCTTGCATGTAGTCAGTCTGGTATCAGTTAACTGCCCTCATGCACTTCACTGTATCTTGTTACCGATTGCCCACTTTCCCCTCCTCTTTACAGCCTTTCCTCCTGACTGGTGCTCCAGTATTGACTCCTTAAAGGAAAGCTTCAAGATGGTAAATCGGCTCAATTGGTCCAGCATTGAGCAGTCACAGTTCTCAGGTAAGTGATCAAAGGATGATATCTGGAAGGAAGAGAGGGTACATCGTAAGTAGAAAACCCCGATATAAACTAGAACCAGAAGGGGGTGGGTAAGTGAAGTTTGGGAATTGGGGATTTTATTGTTTCCCCTCCATATTAAGGTGGATAATACTGAAATTATTTTCAAATTAATTAACTTAAAATATAGCAGTGGTTTATCCTAGTCAATACTATCTTTGGGAGAGGGAGGACTCTTGGAAATTCAGCAACCCTGGACCACTATTTTGTAGTTTTCTCACCACTTAATGACAGTGTGACCATGGCCAATTCACTCAATCACTTTGAAAATTTGCTTTATTCATCAGTGAGATGGAAATTATAATAAGAATTTGATAAGGAACAGCTAGAATCAGAGTTTGAAAATGTGGGCTCTAAAAGGTGTAAATTATTATTGTTAATGCCTATGATCAGTGGTGCTGAGTTATGATGTAGTTGGAACAGTGAGGTAGGGTGCATCTGGTAGGGGCTGAAGTGTCTGCAAGGGTAGCATTGCTTGCTTTTCTATTTGTAGACTTGATGGAGAGTCTACGACAGGCAGAGCAGAAGAACTGGACCCTCGATCAGCATCACATTGCCAATCTGTGTGACTCCCTCAACCACTTCCTTACTCAGACTGGTCATGCGCCCCCACAAGGGGGCTCCCACCGGCCACCAGCCCCTGCCCGTATGGGTGACTCCTGTGCCCTCACCACCGGCAAACAGGAGCCAGCCATGAACCAAGGTACTTTGCAAAGCAAGTTGCCAAGGAGGTAGAGACCATGATGAAAAGGAAGGGTGCGGGGAAAAAAAAAGAAAATTGAAAGACATCATCTTATGGATAATGATCCAAACTGAGCAGCTTGTAGCCATGTCAACTGACCATGCATCGAACCAGTAAAGTCCTGTTATGAAAAACGCAAAAGGAATAGACCATTTGATTCCTTTTTAGACCTTGGCTTGGGAGATAGAAGTACTTAAGAAAAGGGAGGAGATTTGTTAGAGAAAGTCCCCATTTCACATTTGTGTCTCGGTAATTCCTACCTTGATCATGTCAGGTGAAGTGATGATTTTCTACATTTATATGATCTTCGAATCAATGAAATGAGAGAGATTTAATCATCATTCTTGTATTAGTCATTTTTATATCTCTGATATTTCACAATTCTAGTATCCACCCCTTTTTACCCTAAGTGATGAGGACTGATAGTTGTACAGAAAGTCTTCATGCTTGGAGGAGCTACAGAACAGGGCAGCCAATGCAGATAGAGAGAGACTGGTGGGAGGAAGGGTACGCTTTTTTCCTTTCCCTGCTTTGTTGGGTACAGTGATCCTCCGCTCACGTAACTCTTATCTTGCTTTGGCAGTGAACTCTTACGGGCACCCACAAGCCCCCCACCTCTACCCTGGTCCGTCACCAATGTACCCAGTCCCTACCCAGGACTCAGCAGGATACAGTCGCCCAGGTAAGAGCCAGGAAGCTTGTTTCACGACCAGCCAAGCACTCTCTGCCCTGATGAGTTATTTTGCTTTCCTCTGATTCTGAGCCTGCATGCTCTGCCCTTTTGCCTGCACCTGCCAGGAGGGCATGAGCTTTTATGATTCCCAAGTTTGGAAGACGGGTTACCTGCTACGGAGGTGTATGTCAGGGGAGACTAAAGAATAAAGAAGACAGATCTACTTTAAAATTAGCTCATAACTGCCGTAATGAAAGAAGTAAATATAAGCAAAAAATAGAAACATGGAACATTTATGTCTACCTTTGGAATCTAGTTGGAATATATACTCAGGCACATAAAATGAATTCGTTATACAGATATACCTGCTTTGTTCTCATATCTGCTTTTCTGTCACCTGGTCATTAGTATCAAGGGTCTAGGATTGAACTACCTCTGATGGTGGAGGGAGACACTAAATTATTATATATAATACAAAATGAACAGATTCTTTACATTTAAATACATTTTAGAAAAATCACTATTATGATCCAAGTGTTTTCAATTTTTTTTAATGTGAAACCCACAATTTTATCAATATTACTGCTAAGATAAAGGTAAGTTTATTTAACAAAACAATGTGAATCTACTTGAAGAAAAGCACTAATAAATAAATAATGTGAGTACAACACTGGAGCAATAAACATGTGACTGAAACTTGGCAAATACCAGACTAGGTGATCATTAAAGGCCCTTAGATGTCTTAAATTCCACAACTATTAGATTCAAAAATTAGAATGGTATTTGCACTGTAACAAGAGGGTACTGTAGAGACACAATCTATATAGTGTATTAATATAATAATCCAGGTATTTGAAGTTAGTCATTTCGTCTTCCTGCTTAAATATTTTTTTAACCAGGGTAACATCTCAGTTTCCTAGTCAGTCGTTAGTTTTTTTTCTGACAGCTGGCCAGTACAGGCATCGAACCCCGGACCTTGGCATCATCAGCATCACATTCCAACCAACTGAGCTAACCAGCCAGCCCAATTCCTTTTTTTTTTTTTTTAAAGATGACCAGTAAGGGGATCTCAACCCTTGGCTTTGGTGTTGTCAGCACCACACTCACCCAGTGAGCGAACCAGCCATCCCTATATGGGATCCGAACCCGTGGCCTTGGTGTTATCGGCACCGCACTCTCCCGAGTGAGCCACGGGCTGGCCCCCAATTCCTAATTAATAATAATAACTACCATTTACTGAGCACTCACTATATGCCAGGAATGATGCTAAGTGCTTTTTAACCCATGTTTTCATTTTAAATTCTCACAACCTTTTCAGTAAATGCCAGGAACGATGCTAAGTGCTTTTTAACCCATGTTTTCATTTTAAATTCTCACAACCTTTTGGGTTAGGTAGCTTAGTCATGCTTTATAAATAAGGAAATAAGACTCAGAAGGGACTAAGAGGCTGGTCGGTTAGTTCAGTTGGCCAGAGCATGCCACTGCCAACACCAAGGTCCAGGGTTCAATCCCTCCACTGGCCAGCTGCCAAAAAAAACAAAAAAAATCACAACTCAGGAGTGACTGACTACCCAAGGCCATGCAGTTAATGGCAAAGTCAGGGCTTGCTGTCCAGAATACCTCTTCTCATCACCATGATGAAATTCTAATCTCGCTGATGATAGTTTGAGGTCACCTACACAGCCTGTCTCCCTCCCCTGAACCCTTTCAGTGGTCAGAATCTTCCTTCTTTTTGGTGCAAAGTATAAAATATGACCCTTAGCCTCTAGTTCCTTGCTATAGGAACTGGGGCCCATAGACCAGTGACAACAGCATCACTGGGAACTTTTCAGAAATGCAGAAGCTCAAGCCCCACCCCAGATTTACTGAATCAAAATCTTCATTTTAACAAGATTCCCCAGGTGATTTGTATGCATGTTAAAAACTAAGAAACCTGATCCAGAAGAGAGAAGAGCTACTCCTAAAGAGAGCAGGTGGGCTGAGGCCACATGGGCAAAAGCTCAGAGGTAAGGGTCAGGTTTGCTTGAAGTTGGGGCATGGGGCAGCTGTTGAGCGCTTAGAGATGAAGCCAAAAGTACGTGAGATCAGGTGGTGAAGAGCTCTGCGTGCCAGGCATACGAGCTGAGACTTCATCCTCCTCGTGTCCGTGGGGGTCTTGAGTTTCACCACCTCATACCTCTCCTCACCCTCGTCCTCCTCACCCTTCATCAACAGTACCATCTCTTCCTGCATTTCTCCCTCCTCCTCTGCCTGCTGCTCCCCGGGCATCTTGGTGTCCAGCTGGAGGTTCGGCGCTCGCGCTGCCCCAGGCCTGGGCGCCTGGCAGTTGGGCACTCTGGGAGGCCTGTTTTCAATTTTTTGTGTGGCATTTGACTCTTTGTCCATGTATTCCTTGTCCATGTAATTTAAATATGATTTTCTTTACTGCTATTTCATGTATTATTATATTATGTTTGTTATTTTATCATGATTACATAGTCTTCAAAAGTATAATTTTTAATGGCAGCACAATGTTTTATTGCCATGTTCCTGAGACTGCACTGAAGCGGTGGCCTGCAACAAAAATAACTTTGGGCTAGTAAGGACAGTAGCCTTACAAGGCCTTCTTCATGGTAGTTTGGGGCTGAACGCTGTCATCTAGACTGATGGAATAGCTTCACATCCATTCTTCTTTTAATCTCTTTCTTTCTTCCTCGCAGCACACCATATGGTCCCACGGCCACCAGTCCCACCTCCTGGTACCAACGAGGAGATCCCTGATGACTTCGACTGGGACTTGATCACTTAGTGCATCGTGGAGTGTGGACATCAGCCCAGGGCTGGGTGGTGAAGTCTGGCAGTGGGGAAAGAGCAACCCCAGCCCGTCCTTCCCCCCTCGCCTGTATATAGATACTGATCTTCTTTTTGTTCTTTCTCTGTCAGAGAAGCCACCGCAAGATGCTGCCGAAGATAATCCCCTCTTTCCTGCCTCATATCTCTTCCTTCCTGTTTTTTCCTAATTCTTGTATTATTATTCTTATGTTATTATTATTATTATTATTATTTTATTATTATTATTGGTTATATACTGTCCCCAGTCTCTTGTCCCTACACCATGGACCATGTCCACCCCTTGCTAATTTAAAATCATCAGGCTGGAAGATGAGGCCGTGATAACTGCAGAGAAAGGATTCAAAATCTGATTTACCCTTTCTCTTTGAGAAACTCAATGCTAATCCCACCCTTTTGGTCCTAAATCGTTTTCTGTTCCTGTCAGTTTCAGACGGGGACTGGAGAGACCACATCATCAAGTAGAAGGAGTCTAAGACACTGCTTGGTAGCCATGAATTTGCAGGTTTTACTCTGTGGTGCTAATTCTGTCCCCTGAGCTCCTCCTTGTCCCTTTATACTTCCAGTCCTTCTGTCCATCCTCATTCCCCATCAAGGGTAAGAGTGAACATGGTGGTACCTGAGGGCAACAAAATCCTAGTGGAATTAGAGACCTGGAAGGAGTCCAGTGGAATGCTGCAGGGAAGTGATGGAATATAAATCAGTGTGAAATTGGGTCTATGCTGCCATGTGACATAAGCATCCATTGGCTTATTCCTAGCCCATTCTCCAAGGACATAGGATTGGTTTTAGCCAGAACTCTGCTTCTGTCATGGGCATGAGGACGGCTATTCAGCATATGTTCATCTTCTTGGAGATGATTTCAACTTATCCATTTTAGCTTTTTAAAAAATAGTTTTCTCTGAAAGTTAACTGTGGCTCTTATTTGCATTTTCAAATTATCCTTCTATTCCCTTCGTCCATTTAGCAAATATTATTTTGTCCTCCTTTAGTTGTTTGCCCAAATCTTCCATCCATCTTATTTTCTTGGATTCTCAAGAAAGAAAAAGTAAGTCATTATCACTCTGAGTTTCTCATGTCCTAAGGCTTGATAGGAATCTTTTTTCCACCTGTCATAGCAGACTCTGATCTGTAGAATTGGTGATAGGAGGGAGAGAAGAGGAAAAGGGAGCTGGCATAGAAATGGGTAGGGAATATTTCAATTATTTAGCTATATAGGCGGTTGCTTCTCTTAGAATCCAAGTCATTGCGGCTGAAGCTTTTGCAATTAGGCTTTTAAGGGGTGAAGGAAATTGGTAGGAGGGAGTAAATAATCTAGAGGCAAGAGTTCAGTTAGGGCCAGGGGGACTTGGAGAAAAACGTATACGGATAACTCATCTCCTTCAACAAGGGGTGGCCATGACTTATTGCTACAATGTACTTAGTGTATATTTAATGTTAATTATTGAATTTGAGCTATGAAAGAGAGGAACAATTTTACTTCCGTTTTTATTTCACTAAATTTTCACTTTCTGAAAGCTGTGGGACAAAATATGTAGAGTGGACAAGGCCACTCTCCCTGTGATTTCTGCTTTTTGTTTATATTCTTTTATTTACACGTGATTTCCAAGGGATTTGGCTTTCCGTTCTCCCACGTTTCCCCCTCATCCACTCCTTTCTTTCTTTGGAAGGGGGTTATATATGAGAGTTGGTTGAAGAAGTCCAGTGAAGCTGAAGTAAAGGAGCAAGATAGGGCACTTAACTAAAGAGCACTTTATTTCTTTGAAGCCTTTGTAAGAAAGAAATGGGGGTGTGAGGGCTTGAATCTCCCATTATGTTGGAAGGCACTTAGTGGGGTTGGAGTATGACATAATATTTCCCATTGGAGAAAGGAGCATTTCTCTCAAAGGGTGGCAAAATGCCTTCGCCCAGTGTCCCAGTTTTAGGCATCTCTTCCTATATTCCTTCCATTCAGGGTTCATCCTACACACAACTTCCCATCAGTTTCCCAAGACTTTCTCCTTACAAATTTTCACTTCTCTTTCCTAAACACCTTTTCTATTCAGATCCATACAGGATTTGCACGGGTAGATTAAATTACACATGCAAATGCCCCTTGTTCATCTGTGTCTTCTGAAAACTAGTCTCATTAAGAACCTTGGTGGGCATGGGGGCCGGCCCGTGGCTCACTTGGGAGAGTGCGGTGCTGATAACTCCAAGGCCACGTGTTTGGATCCCTATATAGGGATGGCCGGTTTGCTCACTTGAGAGAGCGTGGTGTTGACAACAACAAGTCAGGGGTTAAGATCCCCTTACTGGTCATCTTTTTTTTTTTTTAAAAAAAAAAAAAAAAAAAAAAAAGAACCTTGGTGGGCAGCCAGAGTGGCTGAAGTCTGGGACTGGGACTGGAGACTGTCCATTGGGCCTCCTGAGATTCAGCTCCTGTCCACCAAGCTGAGACTTGCTAAATGTCACAGGACAAACCTGACTCTCTTTGGGCCTCAGTTGCCCCTCCCCTCCATGAAATGGAAAGAATACTACTTTTTCTTGTTGTTCCAGCATTGCTGGATATGAAGTACAGTCATTGTTGTTGTATCGGGTGATGTGTGCAAAATTGCAGGAGCTCACTGCCTTTAAGAGGAAATAAGGGAGAAAGTGGAGCGTAATAACTTCGTATAGCATACATTATACGAAGTTATACGATAATAAGAATTTGATAAGGAACAGCTAGAATCAGAGTTTGAAAATGTGGGCTCTAAAAGGTGTAAATTATTATTGTTAGTCTGGGACTGGGACTGGAGACTGTCCATTGGGCCTCCTGAGATTCAGCTCCTGTCCACCAAGCTGAGACTTGCTAAATGTCACAGGACAAACCTGACTCTCTTTGGGCCTCAGTTGCCCCTCCCCTCCATGAAATGGAAAGAATACTACTTTTTCTTGTTGTTCCAGCATTGCTGGATATGAAGTACAGTCATTGTTGTTGTATCGGGTGATGTGTGCAAAATTGCAGGAGCTCACTGCCTTTAAGAGGAAATAAGGGAGAAAGTGGAGGAGAAGAACAAAAGGAGCAATATTTGGTATAGATCCACTCATCCCAGCCTTCCTCTCCTCAAACCCCTCTCCCCATGTTTCTGGTTTGGTGAGTCCTTCATACCACCCATAATGCTTTGCATTGGTGCAGGCTGGGAATGGGGTATATGGTCTCACAATTTGTTGTTGTTGTTTTTTTGCATGCTTTCTTAATAAAAGAAAAAAGAATGTTTACAGTTTTCTCTCACTGGTACTGGTCTCAAATTTCTTTTTGCTACGGTAGAAAGGAGAAGTGTGAAAGCATTTAGTTTCAGTTGGCCTTCAGCCCCTCTCCCACCTCCCACAACTGGGTTTAATTAGATCCTGACATTTTTTTGTAAGTTTGATGGGAAAGAATTAAAGTCACGCCTTTAACATTCCTCTTTTCAGATGCTGTTAAACATAGTGAAAGATTGTTGGGAGAGTCAGTAGGCGGGTGTGTGGAATAGGCCCACCTTGCTTGCATTCTAGGATAGTCTAAGGATTTAAGATATTACACGTTGGGGAAGAGTTGCATCCCCTTCTGGGACTTCCTGGAAAAGAGAGGGTATACAGTAGTTACAGGTACTTGCCAGAGTTTTTAATCAAAATGAGGGAATTGTAATTTTAGGAATTTCTTCAGAATACATTTCCAAGGTAAAATGGAATTCTCAAAAGGAATCCAGAAATGCCAATTATTCATTATACATTAAATCTTTATAACTATGCCAAAATTATTCACACTAATGTCCTATACACTAACCCCAGGAGGTTAGGACTTACACTCAGGGTCTTGTGGGATGTGTTGGGGTTTCCAGAAAACTGGTTCATTCCTATTATAGCAAGTCTACACTCACTCTGAGATCTATTTGCTGCATATTTAAAGGTTGTGGTATATTCTGAGTATCAAACAATTAAAAGGATCCATGAACCTCTGAACCTTGCAAGGAAACATGAGAGAAAAAGCATTTATTCACATCAAATATAAGCAAATTAAATTGGAAGGTAGCACTGCAAATCTTAATCGTGTGACATTATCACATGCCTTACAACTGAAAGAATTCCTAGTGATTGGAAATTTTTCTGCATAATACTTTTTACAACAAATTTATAGTCCAGACCCTCACCTCAATTTTTGGAACAAATAATTTCTTGCAAGTCTAAAACATCTCACTTTCTTTTTTTTAGATTCAGCTTAGATGAAACTATGTTGTGGTTCAAACAAGCCTGAGATTTCAGAGGTTTAACACGAAGTTTATACACAGAAAAATGAGAAGGTGGTGGGGAGTTGGCTAATGTTTTTAAAAAATGAAAGAAGAGTGGCAGGAAAAGTATATAAATGGTTGGAATTTATAAACAAAGTAGAAGAAAAAGGTGTGGTCATGAATGAATTAATGTATGATAGTTATTAATGAGTGTTGGGATGCTGGATAAACAATAAAAATATGGAGATGTTTGGTTAAAAATCTTCATCTTTCGAGACAAGAAGTCATTTTATCATGTCTACAAAAAATAGCATAAGCACATGATTTAGAAACATGGTAAATATCAGAAGAAACATCTGCAATTGTTGCAAGGGTTATCTCTGGGAAATGAGAATGGGAGGGGGGAGTGGTTGAGCAGAGTTGTGTAGGAGACCTCATATTTCATTATAAACCTTGAATTCTTTTAAAGGTATGCGCATGAGGGCTAGGGGGTAAGCTCAGTTTGTTAGAGCATGGTACTGATAACACTGAGGTCCAGGGTTTGATCCCTGTACCAACCAGCCACCAAAACACCAAGACAAAAATAAAATTATGTGCATGTTTTGATTTGTATCACTTGGATAAAGATTAATTTAAAATACTCAGAAGATATATCTAGTAATTTTGGCATGAATGATACCTGTAATCATGTTTTTTAAAATGTGATGGTATTCCTGGTAGGATACTCAGTCATTTCGCAGTTAATTAAAGAATTACTACTCTTTCTTTTTCAATTTGAAATGAGTTTCTTGGAAAGTATTAATTTGGAGCAAGAGAAAAGGAGTAAATAAAATCTTACAAAATTATAGGTTACTTGAGGGATAAAGTCTGAAGTGGAAGAAGACATAGAGGCAGGGGAGGAAGCCTTGGCAAGGGAATTAAGGGGTTTGAGGAAAAGCATGGAAGATAGCTCTGCTAGTAAGCAGATAGAATAAACAAGCAGAGAACTCACCAAACCACAGCTCACATAACATTTCATGAGTATAAGGGAATTAAGGGGTTTGAGGAAAAGCATGGAAGATAGCTCTGCTGGTAGGCAGATAGAATAAACAAGCAGAGAACTCACCAAACCACAGCTCACATAACATTTCATGAGTAAATTTTTAGATGTATTAGTAGCCTGTTTTCATACAATAGATACTTATTTAGTTGTAATAGTGGAGACTCGGAATTCTCACGTCCTGTACCCAGGGTGTTCCTTCTAGCAGGCATCCAGCATTGCAGACGGCTCCAGTCTGTCTCACGGCTCCTTGTTTTCATAGGCTTTTTCTTTTTGCACCTCCTTTTCATTTAAAACCATCAACATCACCACAATCACAAAACCACAGAATAAACGATCATCTTTCTCTCAGGTAGGACAAGAACATGGCTTTACATGGAGTCTGGAAGAGGATTTAGACAATGTTAAAGAAAAAATTTAATGATGGAAACATTTAGAAACAGACTAGATTCTCATTTATCTCATGTGTCTTAGTTTGGGATAGAAACAGACTAATTTTTACAATCATTCTCAAATTTAGCATTAATTGGAAATGAGGGCTTGTAAAAACACTTGGTGGGCCCCAGCTCTCAGAGATTCTGAGTTAGCAAGTCTGAGAAGAGGATTGAAAATTGGCATTTCTTTTTTTTTTTTAAAAGATGACCGGTAAGGGGATCATAACCCTTGACTTGGTGCTGTCAGCACCACGCTTTCCCAAGTGAGCTAACCGGCCATCCCTGTATAGGGATCCGAACCCGTGGCCTTGGTGTTATCAGCACCACACTCTCCCAAGTG